GAAACACCTGTAAGAAGGAAAGGAAAGGAATAGCGAGAAGTATTCATATCCTTGGTTTTGTTGGGGGAAATCTGCTGACAGGTCAAGAGCTTGACGGAAGAGATTCTGGAAAATGGGATAAACAGTCACTTGTAGCAAAGGAGCCATAAAGGTAGCAACCTTTTTTCTGTTGTTGTTGCTGTAGACATTTGAACAACTCAAGGATGGGGTGTCATATGAAAAAGAATGTTGGCAGTTTGAATTAATTCTAGAGGGTAGAACCAGGAGAGAGTAGAAGTCACAAAAGGTAGCACTTGGTTGAGTTTAAGGAAGAACTCTCTAATAGTTAAGGCTGTCCAATACTGCAGTGAACCCCTCATCATCGGAGGTGTCCAGGTAGATGTTGAAACAGCACTTGTGGCTTTGGTATGGATGACGAATGTGTTGTTGGGCATTAGATGACCACCAAGGTCTCTTGTACCTTTGTGGTTCTGTGTTTCCATGGGCTTCCACTTTTAAGGAGGTCAATAAAAATTAAAAATACGAATATCCTGATTTTAAGGAACAGTCACATTCACATTTATACATGCTTCCTTTGGATTACTAAAAACAAAAAGGTCAAGTCTAAAACCATGTCTATATGACCACCATTTAGGTTAGTGAGTTTAATGGAAACAATTCAGTCCAACCAGTTGTTTCACATTATTGAAGCAACCCGTGTTTGCTCTCTGACGCAATCTTTCACATTTTAATCATTTGTTGTTTGTTATTGTTTTGTGACTGGTGACTTACTATGAAAAAATAGCATTGAGTTCTGTTTAGTTTGCAAAAACCACAATTTTCTTCTAATTAAAGCCAGTTGCTTCTAGAAAGAAGGGAACAAACTAGATTCATCTTAGAAGTGGCCAAAAGGAAAAAGCTAAAATTTCTTTGGGAGACACTCCAAAGAATCAGTATTGAGTTTCAGAGAATAATTTAATTATGCACAGAAGTATCCTTTGGGAAAGAGATGTGGGAGGGTAGATAGTAAACGTTCTTCGAAACAGCCTATGTCATGACCTTTAGAAGTCTAATTAAATGTCTTGGTGTCACACAATTCTAGCAAACTTTTATTATCAGCAGTTGAGTCTACCAAATCTTGCTTTTCTGTATCAAACTTAATGGCATCTTAATTGTAGAAAACTTAAAATTAGTCAACTCTTATGCCTGGAATCTGCTTATGTAAATATTTAGGTTCGAACGAGGACAACTTAGAGAAAATTTATATGAGAATGCTAATCAATCTTCTAATACACATCGTTTGTATATATACACACAAACATTTGTTTAGGTAAACTAGGAGAAACCGGGGTGTCTCATGATAGTA